TCTGGGAGAGGAGTGGGGGCTGGTGGGTTAAAGTAGGGGGGCTGGGATGCAGGACTCCTAGGTTCTCTCCCGGCTCTGGGAGGGGAGGGGGCCTGGTGGGTTAGAGCCGGGGCGGGGCTGGGAGTCCGGACACCTGGGTTCTCTCCCCAGCAGGACCGCACTGGGTCCCTGAGTGTGTCTCTTTATTGCAGCACCGGGAGCTGGGAGCCGATGAAATCGAAGGTAAGAAGCCCGCGGGAGGGGAGTGGGATCTAGTGATTAAAGCAGGGAAGGAGGGGTGGGGCTGGGAGCCCGGACGCCTGGGTTCTCGTTGCAGCCCAAAGGAGAGCGGGGTCTAGTAGATTGGTGCAGGAGCCCCTGGTACTAGCCCCAACCCCAGGAGGGCTGTGGGGGAACACGGGTGCTGCAGGTCCCAGCACTCCCGGGTCCTGGGTGCGGTGGGGAGGGGGCTCAGCCCGGTGGGTTCCCCCCAGAGGGGGCCCAGCCCGGCAGGGGGGGCCCAGCCCAGCGTGGGGGGCCCAGCCCAGCGTGGGGGGCTCAGCCCGGTGGGAGCCCCAGGCCGGAGCATGGAGAGGGGCGCAGGCCTGCCGCAGCACATCATGGCCCAGGTGCGCGTCCAAGCCCCGGGGGCCGCGGCCAGCCTGGAGGATCCGTGCCGGGAAGGCTCGCGGAGGCAGCAGGTGGCTGCCGCTGGGGACAGGCTGGCCGGAGGGCGGCTGCTGGACAGCCGCAGCTTGGATGGGATCAGCCAGGCGTACGGGGCCAGCCGGGCGCAGGAAGGGCGCCGCGCCACCATCTCCAGCGCCCTGGAGCTGGAAGGGACGGTCAGCCACGACGGGGACCTCACCCACTTCGTGGCCAACAACCTGCAGCTGAAAATCAAGCTGAGCTCCCGGGGCAGCCTGGAGGAGCCGGAGCCCCCGGGCCAGCCCTTCCCAGGGCTGGGGCGGAGCAAAGCGGCCGACATCCCCCCCATTGACCCCGCGGTGCTGACGGAGCTGGAGCGCCTGACCCAAGAGGTGGCCCACAAAGTGGACCAGATGATGAGGAGCTTGAGCGGCAGCATCCAGAACATGACGGCCCTGAGCGTGGGCTACATCCAGACCTACCGGGACGCCGTGGACAGCCTGGGCGAGTCCGTAGACATGAGCATCAAAGGGATGTACACGCTGATGGCCCGCTGCGAGGAACTGGACCGCTCCATGCAGCCGGTCCACGCCCTGGCCAAACAGATCCGGGAGATCAAAAGGACCCTGGAGATATTCGAGTCGCTGTGCAAGTAGCGCCGGTGGAAAACATTTCTCAGCTGCTTTGTTAATGGGGGGCGGGGGAGGGGACGCTGTGCTGGTTGCAAACTCCAAAAGGGAACATGTCGTGTACTGTTTGCGGTTGTGTGTTTGTTTCATGTCTTGTGCTGCCATAAGCCTGTTACACTAAAACCAGACACTGCTTTGCAGAGGATCTGTCTGAAAGGGGCTAATTCCCCCTGAACGATTACTTGAAATTTTCCCACCCTCTCTGTTCGTTAGAGGGGATGGTGCATGCTCAGGATTTCCAAGGACCCTAAGGGAATGATGCTCTCAGATTCAATAGGAATCCGACTTCAGTGGGAGCTGGGCTGCTTTCAAAATCCCAGCTGCGAAGAATTGTCGGCCTGACGAGGAATAGTGAACTGGATTCCCTCATCTGTGTGGTTCACCTTTCCCGGTAAAATAAGAATATTTATACTTAAAAAAACTACTCTGCAATTTGCCAAACCACCTAAAATGTGTCCATAGGAAAGAACTAAGAAGGCTATTGAGCCTTCCCGGGGTTATTTTCAAAGAGCCCAGTATTGCTCTCGCTCTGCTGTCTTGGAAGTGAAGGGGCGGTTTACCTTTGATTGCAATGGGGGAAGAACAAGGCCGGCGCTGAGTGCTTTTGAAATTCCCACGCTCTGCGTATTTCAGCAGCTGAGGAGTTTGCCCTACAAGTGGATTTGCAGGGTGCCGGCTCAGAAGCAGATTCTGAATCCTCTCCCAAAACCTCTGATGACTCTCACATTTGCTTCCACATTTAACAGCCTAACCCGTGACCTATATTAAATATGGAAGGAATGACAGCTGTGTACATATGCTCTGTGGATCTTATACCCTTCGACTGGTTAATTTCTTTGTTTTAGTACAGCAGGGCTGCATGTACACCTCTACCTCGATAGAACGCTGTCCTCGGGAGCCAAAAAATCTTACCGTGTTATAGGTGAAACCGCGTTATATCAAACTTGATTTGATCCGCCGGCACGCGCAGCCCCGCCCCCCTGGAGCATTGCTTTACCGCGTTATATCCGAATTCGTGTTATATTGGGTGGCGTTATATCGGGGTAGAGGTGTATTTAATATTTGGCATGTGGTATGGAAGTGCTCCTTTCAGTGTCTCTGGGGAACAGAAAGAATTAACTATAGAGCCCCAAGGCCTTCCCCAGTTCCAGAGAGGGCCAGGCTATGCTGTAAGGGGGGCAACTTAATAAAGACAGGAACTTCCTGCTCTCAGCTGTTTCCTCATCTGGAGGTGTTAAGTGACTCGGGTGGGTCTGAGTCTCTCAGCCCCTTGGTGCACTAAGGCATTTCTCTCCTGGTAAGACCCTACCGGAATGGCACACCCATGTCTGTGCGCTGCTAAAGCCCAGGGGAGTCCGGGCTAAAGAGGAGTGGAAGCGGGAGGGGATCAGAGCTTGAACCCCCCCCAGACCCAGCAGGGATCCCCCCAGCAGCCCAGAAGTGTGTGGGGGATATGCAGCTGGGCCTAGCAGGGCTCCCCCCCCGATGGGAGCCCGCAAACTGGAGTAGGGCTAGGGTGACCAGGTGTCCAGTTTTCGACTGAAACACCCGGTTGAAAAGGGACCCTGGTGGCTCCGGTTAGCACCGCCGACCGGGCCATTAAAAGCCCGGTCGGCAGGGCTAAGGCAGGCTAGTCCCTACTTGCCCTGGGGCACCGTGCTGCACCCTGGAAGCGGCCAGCAGGTCCGATTCCTAGGCTGGGGGGCCATGGGGCTCCACGTGCTGCCCCCACCCCATGCACCAGCTCTGCACTCCCATTGGCCAGTTCCTGGCCAATGGGAGCTGGGGAGGCAGTGCCTGTGGGCAAGAGCAGCGTGCACTGTGGAGCCTCCTGCCCCCGCCTAGGAGCCGGAGCTGCTGGCCGCTTCCGGGGTGCAGCACGGTGCCAGGGAGCCTGCCTTAGCCCTGCTGCGCCGGTGACGGGGAGCTGCCCAAGGTAAGCCTGTGCCCCAATCCCCTGCCTCCGCCATACCCCAAACCCCTCATCCCTGGCCCCACCCCAGAGCACGTACCCCTT